TTATGTAAAGGGTGCGGTCAGGGTTACGCGAAATGCAAAAACAACTACCATATGAGGCAGCCCCTCCCGCTGCCAATAAGCGTGCCAGACACTTAACTGAAAAAAAAAAAATAATAATAAAAAATACAACTAAAACTTAAGACTAAAATGCGCAACAAATATATATAGCATAATAAAGAATCGAGGTCATAGAATACAAAACACTTATAAAACGAAAATTAAGATTAGAGAAAATTATGAATATGTGTGTGTGTGTTTATGCAATGTAATGTGTAAGCATATAAAAGACAAACAGGATAATGGATATATACATAAGTAATTCTATTTAAGTCTTTATATTATATTATATAATATTAATAAATTGATATATGCAGAGCTCAAATATTATGGAAAATATCATTACAGTATCCTTAGATGTTTTTGCCCATCGCAACTTCAGTTCAGTTTCCCTCGCTCAATTATTTGCCCTCAGATTCTTAGCTCTTATAGTCTCTAGAAACTTCTTCAGCTAGCCCATAAATCCCCGTCTTGTAGGGTATTGGAGAGCAGTAGGTAAGCTGGGTGGGTTGGGCGCTTAGCTGGGTATGAAGTGGTGCTTGGCCAATTGCCGCGCAGCTTTGGTGGTTTACTTCGCTTCGCAAATATTTAGAGTGCCGGCACATTGAAAGGAGCACCCGGAGAGGCGGAGGGGGGGAGCTGACAATATCTGTGTATGTGTGTGTGTTCAGGTAGTTCGAAGTCAGTTAATCACGCTCTCACCAGCCACGTGAAAGCGTCTGTTATCACGAGTCGTGTCGCCCGTCCAATGACTGCGAGTGGGAGTGGGGGAGGGGGAGGGGGGTCAAACAAAATAAGCTCCATTTCACGCATGCTTCCCTTTCCTCGACCTCCAGTACGCGCTCATTATGCAATGTCGCCCGCTAATGCCAATGGCCGTTAAAGAGCTCAAAAGATAAGCAAACGCATAAATTACGTATACGTAATATCTGGAATGGTGCACGAAGCAGAGGCGTGGGAAAGCGAAAGTCCAGCTGCAGGTGCTGTCAAATGCAGTGACAATGAGATCGAATGCAGGAGATAGGAGAGAGAGAGAGAGAGGGAGGGAGGGAGAGAGAGAGAGAGGGATAGAGAGGGAGAGAGAGAGAGGGAGGGAGAGCGAATATCTCTTTCTGCCCTCCCAAGTCACGCTTCGTCTTACATTTGCTTTCTTTCTCTCCCCCTCTCTCTCTCTCTCTGTCTTAGTCTCGCTCACTATCTCAGTCTACCCTAGTTCAATCTACTAACCCCCCCTCTCACTTCATCTCTTTCTGCCTGCTTCGCAAGTGCTAATAGCCATTTCCCTTGATATTCTCACACGTGCTGAGTACGTATATATTTTTGGGGCATTTCCGCTTCCTTTAGTTACCTCACAAAAACAGCTCCAGCTCCAGCTCCAGCTCCAGCTCCAGAGGGTAGATCGACCAACGCCAAAGTTCATTGCCTCACTATTTTTGGCGCCAAATTTTGCTTGGCGACTCATCGCTGTTGTTGTAGTTGTTGTTGCTGTTGTTGTTGCTGCCGGCTCGTGTTTTGATTTTTTTCCTTTCGCTAGCTATTCACTCTTATTATGATTATTGTTGTTGCTGTCGAGTTTATTGACTTGGGCGCCGAAAAGCGACTCACATAAGTTCGCAGAATGAGAGCAGAGACGGCGGCAGCGGCAGCAGCAGCAGCAGCAGCGGCAGCGGGTGGCGTTGCCAGTGGGGCCCAAATGGCTGGCTGAGGAGGTGGAGAAGACCTGGCCCCCTTTAATGGGGTAAGCGAACGCTTATGGAATTTGCCACCTTCGCGGCGGTACGGCAGCTCTGTCGACGATCGGCGCTCGCTTTTTGACCGCACATGAACCGCGGCGCATGAATTGGGGAATGTGCTGTGTAACTGCGTGCTAACGCCGCCCCCAGCTCCCGTCGCCTCCCGTCGCTCCTCCTCCAGGGCCCAGTTCCAAATGAGAATAACAACAACAGCTGGAAGAGGCCCGAATGCGAAGCCAAAACAAAACGGGCGCAAATAAAAACAGAATATGGGGAAATACGTGCGAAAAAAAGCGAAAATTTTTGGTTGTCGGTGTTTTTGGCTCGAGAACCACAACAACAACAACAACAATAGCATAAAGTGCGCGTTCCCAGCGCCAAGTGCCAGGTTAATGACATCAACAATAACAACAACAACAACAGCAACAGCAACAACTATAAACAACGAACTGAAGTCACAGCAACAACAATAACTGCCCATAAAATGAAGCAACAACAAAGCAAATTACAACAACAACAACAACAACCACCACCAAAAAAGGCAAAGTGAAACAAAAAGTGTATTTGATATCATTGTTGTTGTTGTTGTTGTTGTTGTTGTTCTGGCAGTCGTTGTTGTCGTTGTCTTCAGCAAAAGTTTCTAGCCCACGCTCCAAACCCCCCAACAGCCCTGATCAACACTCCAGCAATCGCCCCCCTCCCTCTCTCACTTTGCTATAGCGTTTTGCTGTCTCGCTTGCACAGTAGAACCTTATGAAGAACCTGTTCGACGAGTCCAATGTCACACCCGCCCCCCTAACCTAAAGTAGCGCCAATAAAATTATTGAGCAATGTCAGGAATAGTTCTTTATATAGTACTCTACCCCCTTATTCTGTAACTGTATCTGTATATGTATCTATGTATCTATGTATTTGTGATAATGTATCTGTATCTGTGAATATGTATCTGTGTATCTGTATCTGAGTATTTGCGTATCTGTATCTGTATATCTGTATCTGTGTATCTTTATCTGTGTATTTGTTTCTATGTACCTTTATCTATGTATCTGTATCTATGCATCTGTATCTACGCATCTGTAGCTATGTATCTGTATCTCTGTTATGTATCTGTGTATCTATATCTATGCATCTATATCTATGCATCTATATCTATGCATCTGTATCTATGTATCTGTATCTGCGTATCTGTATCTGTGTATCTATATCTATGTATCTGTATCTAGACCTGTGTATCTGTTTATGTATTTTTCAACACTGTTTCAACACTGTTTTCCAACACTAATATCGATTCACTACGAATATACTCCAATTTGTTGTATGTCTGCTTTTTTTTCGGGCTATGGCATTGTTCGCTTAATATGTAGTTGTTGTTCTGCAAGATTATCTATTTTGGCTAGTTCCCGGTCTATGCGGCCCGTTCCCATTTTAACTGGGCTATTGCGACTTAAACTGAAGTATCAAAACATACAGCGAGAGCGACAGAGAGAGGTAGATGGAGCGTGTGTTGGCTGAAGAAGACGTGGAGTCAACTACGGCAGCGACGACGCTTCAGGTTTTATTGAACTTTGCCAAGTTCTGAGCTCGCCTCGTCCGCCCTCTCTCAGGCCCGCTCTCAGAGCTGCCCCACACCCCCTGCTCAAGCAATACGTCAATTCGTGTCTTTTTTGTTGCTGATTTTGCGAAATTTATTTAAATTGTATTTTGGATTTTTTGTTGTCGTGTTTTCGGTTTCTTGTTTTTGTAATGAAAAGCGCCAAAAAGCTAATGATGAAATATTTGCCAGGCTTTGCACTGCGCAGTTTCGGTTCTGTTTTTGGTTTTTGTTTCTGTTTCTGTTTCTGTTTTGTTCTCCGCTGTTTCTCTTGGCCGTTTCTTTGGGGCCAATAATCTTACACGAGCTGGGCTCAAAGCTACTATAGCTGTCTCTCCCTCTCTCCCTCTCTCTATCGCTTTCGGTTTTCCCATTCGAATCCCTGCCGCATTCTTTGGCCGAGCTGTGGAACGTGCCAGAAATTGGAATTTCGTCAGTTCTTCTTTCTAGGTGTCATATTGTTAGATATATTGCTCGATCTGCAGATGTACCAGGGCGCACGTTGTGTATGCGTAATATTCACGCAAACGTATATACACCTACATACATACATGTGTATCTGTTGCGAGCGGGATTCAAAGCTCTAAGGGTTATTGACTTTGAGGCGAGACTTTGCTTCCAAGAATTGCGTCCACATCGAACATGAGCTCATTTATGAGTCAGCTGGAATATGGGAATGCTGAAAGTCAAACGCTTACTTGTCGCGCCTGAATTGGGCAAGATCTATACCCATATACTATTATAATAGTTTGAGATAAATGTAGTTTACTTGATGGGTGTCATAGGATGAGGTAAAGTGAATTGTGACTCAGTGTCTTGGTATTTTAGTATCTTAGATCGCATTGCCAACAACATGCAGTTCGAACACCCCCATCACGCACGCATTCGCACTTTATCTGTGTACACAATGTCAATTGGAAATGTTGGCAAAGGTTAACTCTATTTGTGGCATTGCGTTTGTTTATCGCAATCGAGTCAGTTCGTTAAAAATAGATGAGGGCATCAATAACTCGTACTTCCCACTGCTGAGGGGCTGATGGGCGTGACAGTATCTGGAGTTCCCATGAGCACTGGCGAAAATAGTCAGGTCGCAAAAATCAGTTAGCAAAGCTATACACAAACGGATATTGCTGTTTGTTGTTTACGACTTGACGTGTCATTAACGCGGCCGAGAGCTGCTCGAAATTCGTGGAAAACTACGAAAATGAAATCGTAACTCGAAATCTGATGAGTTGACTGATTTCGTCGAATGGTGGAAGCAAAGCGCGTGCCGCATTTCGACTCGGACTCGGCTAATTCACACGCGGACACTAATCAAATTGTTTGCCCAATAGTTTTTACACACGTAATTAACGCGATCGCTGCGGGAACAACAAGTGGGCTCTAGCTGAACAGGGGCACTATGTGATACTCTGTAAACTGATGTGAACTGCACTTGGTTAGGTTGAACCACCTACGTCCTTCCCCTCTCTAATGTGTGCGCTACATAGGCTTGTATTCATCTATACTCTCCCAGAAAACTCTATATGAAGTGATCGATATCTATCGATTGTGCTTACGACTTCATGTGTCTAATTTCCAGCCCTATGAGATTTATGTCTGTGCTTTCAAATTTTGCTTAATTCATTCAAATTTGAGTTTTAGAATTTTAACAGAACAAATATTATGGGTTCGCTGGTTTATTTTATAACTCTTATCGCCTTACTATGCCTCTGTTCATTGATGAATAAGGGTAAGCCATATCGATTGCAATAGTAGGTGCCAGACCAATTGATACCCTGAGTCCCGCCTGAAAATAAATTTGTCCTCGCAGGAATCATCCCAAAGTCTGCCGAACACAACACGAAGTCATAAAACAAATATTTTGATTGATCTTAGGCCATTGAATAACCAATGTTTTTATTTATTCAAAGCTGAAGCTAATCAATTTAAAATTGTGGGAGGCTTCGATGCCAACATTTCGGATGCTCCATATACGGCCTCATTGCGTTGGGTGCACAGAGAAGCTCATGCACTGGGCAGTGGACATTTTTGCAGTGGAACTATCATTAAAAATCGTATAATTCTCACAGCAGCTCATTGTTTATATAAGTGGGTACGCCTGAGTCTGAAAAGGTTGCCTGTGCATTCACTTAATTTGCTGCAGAAGGAGCCCCACAGATGTTTCGGTTGTAGTGGGATTCAAGTATCTTTCCCGCGTATGGCCGACAATGAAGAAGCTGAGAATCTCATATTGGACTTATCATGAAAAATATAATAATAAAAAAAGAGCAGTATTCGATATTGGATTGATATTCACAATTGAAAATATAGAACCCGTTGATGGGGCAGTCGCATATTTGCCCCTTAACACGTGGAAAATAAGCACGGGCACTGAATGTCTATTGTCTGGATGGGCTCGAATTGATCACGTAAACAAATCAATTTTATTATCCACTTTATTTTAATTTGGACTAGACTAGACTAATCGATTGCTTTTTGCTATCATAGAAAACACGCGATAACGCAAACTGTCTGCAGGCACTGTGGCAAAGGATAATGGACAAAGAAATGTGTTTTCGGATCATTCACAGACCTGGCGTATTGTGCACCGACTCAGGGTCTCCGATTGGGGCCAGTTATGGTGATTCAGGTGGTCCGTTGCGCTGCAACAACAAACTTGCAGGAGTTATCTTTGCCACAAACTTCAGAGGTATCGCCTTGTACGTAGATGTACGGGCATTTGTCGGCTGGATAGAACAACGGATTAGTAGTGGAATAATGCCACTTGGCTCGTTTTGCATTGGGAGGCATGTTGTTTTGGCCATCAGTATTTGTGTGGCCAGCTTCTGCAAGTCGGGCACTCTCGACTCAAACTAAGCCGAGTTATTTCCGATGATTATGTATGTGGATCTCTATATATCAAGCATCAATAATACTTTCAGAATCTGAAATTAAATGCATAAATGGAGATGATTTTCTGTGCGTATGTCGACCTCACAACTTGTATGAGATTAGAGATTAGATATAGACGTGGAAGTACCTGTATATCAGAGTCCAGAAAATGTGGAGAGTACAGGGTATTTGCTAGTTGAGCACTCTCGACTGTTGGCGCTTGTTGTGTAGCTTCGCAGTTTTCACATTGTTTTTGGGGAATTTTTCATTCGACAACTGATATTTCTCATATACCCTCTGTTAGCCATTGAGAACATATGCAAGACTTAACTGAGGGATATTCATAGGCAATATATTATGTGAGGGTATTACTGTGAAGCGAAATGAAAATCGTACTAAGACTGAGTTGATGCAAGTTACTCGATCAATATTGCCATGGGGCTCGATAGCGATTGGCTGGCTAGCATCAGAGATAGGGATCGGTAGACGCCGTTGCCAATTACATGGTATGTGCTCATCGGGCAAGTTCATCGCTCAGGTGCTGTTGTTGCTTCTGCGAATTGCGATACGATGAGTTTATTTGTTTTTGTCGCGCAACGCGCAATAAATGAGTAAATTTACATTCAACGCAAATACAATAACAAATGCATAAATAAATAAAAGCAATTCCAAAAATTCGCACACGACCTCAATGAGTCACAATGAGTGGTAAAAAACACGAGACAGAGATAGAAACAGGCGGGCAGAGAAAGACAGACTAACCAGAGGCAGAAAATGCCACAACAAACACCTTAACTTGCTGCCGCTGCTGCTGTCATCGGAAGCCCCAGGCTCCCCCTTTGCTGCACTGAGGATCCCCTCAGCTGTAATGCGCGACCAAAAATAAAATTTGTAAGAGAAACCGAATTCAAAACAGTGCAAAAAGTATTTATGTATGTGTGTACATATACATATATAGGTACATACATCTAAACGATTCTGTTTGTAAACAATTTGAGAGTCTCAAAAACAAGTTGGATGCATTTGGCCCTCGAGCATTGCGCTCCCGTAAATAATTACCAAGCACGACATACACTGACAATGATAAATATATACACACTCGATCAATGGGCTATAGATATGAAAATATTGCCAATTTGTTAAGGGTTCAATAAACCGTATTATTGCTCTTATCAGGCCAATTAATCAAATGAGCCAGCCGCGAACTTTGACCACACATCAGGCCAAATTCTGAGCATCTGGGCATGGTCGTAAAGATCTCTAGAGCCAAAATATCGCCTATTTATAGATCGCGCTTTTATATGCACCATAAACCGAACATTAAGCTATAATTATAGCGATTAGCTATTTTCGTCGATTTCCTAAATGTGAAATGATGTATGCATATTTTCGAACTGGCATTGGTCTATTTATAGCCAATTATTTAGATCCATTAGTCATTGGTCTTTGAATTATTATAGAATTTGTCATGGGTGTGACTCCTCTCTTATATATACCTATTATATATTCTGCATTGGCGAGGATTCTTTAAAAAGTAGCACGAATTCCCATTGATGAAATGGGAAACTATATGATGTGAATGCACAATCTCGGGAACTGCAAAGTCTGGGGAATACGCGGAAACCTTATGCAGATTCCTAGATATCGCACTTTCGATTTTAAATTTGTTTTTTTTATTTCGAAGATGACATTTGCTTAAGTCTACCTCAATGCATTTGGCACACACTTCAGGAGTCTGTGCTGGCCTTCCCTCAGACCCCTGCTGAAATCTTCGAGTCTATTCATTGTCAGCTAAGGGCGAATCCTTTTGCCGATTCTGAGGTTCATGCCCGCTCCTTACATAATTGCAGCTGCATTGCACTGTGCTCAGGTAGACAGATGTGCGCCTTTTAGCGACCACCACAGGCGCAGCCAGGACAATAACAGCAACAAGAAGAACAAGAAGAAGAAGAAGAAGAAGGAGGGCAAAAAGTTGCGGCAGGTGCGCGAAATTTGGTTGTTTGTCGAGTTGGGAATTGAAGACAAATCGAAACGAGATAAACTCCAAACAGGCAAACGGTTAGCTTGTACCCTGTAAGTGCTGAGAGTTCTGGGGGGTCTTTGATTGATCGAGTGCGCTGTGGGTGCCAATAGGAAGACGATTAGATATATAATGTGTATGTGAATATAGGACAGATACAGGGTATCATTATAGTCAGTCATAATAGCCTAACATAGTCTTGACACATTCTCTTTACACTCATCTACAGGATATCATTCTAGTCTATCCCCGTGGCTCTACGTTCTCAGTATTGTCAGATACAGGGTATCATTATAGTCCGTCATCAGTGTCTGTGATTCGTGCTGGGGCTTGTCAGCGCAAATAAAGTGGAAGTAAGTGGAAGTAAATATTGGCCAGGTCGCAGCCATGTAATTTGACAGTTGCCTGCTGCCTAAAAGGGATGCAATGAACCCCAGGGCTGATGAGCGAGAGAGGCGAGGCGAGAAGAGAAGAGAAGAGAAGTGAGAGAGAGAGAGACACAGAGAGGGGCTCTTCAGTACGTGTCCAGCTGTTGCCTGTAAATGCAACACGTGGCAGGTGTGGCAGTCACTACCTTGACGTCTTGCAGCTGCTGCTATTGTTCTGTTGTTGTTGCTGTTGTTGCAGCTGCTGCCAGACGCTGACAGGCAACAGCAACAGCAACAGCAACAGCAACAGCAACAGCAACAGCAAACGTAAACGCATTTGGCAATTATATTAAGAAGAGCTGAGGACCAAAGGGCCACAAGGATAAAGTCAAAGCTGCGGCATGGTCCAGTCGAGACTCAAGCGCCGCCGCGTGTTGCACCTGTCCTTTTGTTGTTGCTGCTGCTGCTGTCGCGTGTTATTGCTGCTGCTAGTTGTGATTGCGACTGTTGCTGCTTAAAAGGAAAACTCAGTTCACTTCTGATAGGCCCAGCCAATTAGCAGCGCTGCTTCGTTATAACTCATTTGCGGCAATAAATGTCGCTGGCTGCAACAAGCCAACAAACCGACAATTCAACAATCCAACAATCCAACAATCCAACAGGCAGCCAGCCAAGCAACCAACAAGCAACACTCAACAATAAATGTGAAGCAAGAGCTAAAGGGCGGCTGAGCGGGGGGTTTGATTGCACTTTGGCGTGTTGCTCAAGTTGTTGTTGCTGCTGCTGCTGCTGCTGTTGTTGTTGTTGTTGCTGCTATTGACGTTTGCCGTTGCAGTTGCTGCCATTTGTGATTTGGCTTTTCTTTACCTGGAATGTTGCACACTGAGCGCACGCCAGCAATAATGTTGCCCAAACAATGACAGCGGCATTAGACGCTTCCGCATTCCAATTTAATAAGTCACTCGAGTCGAGTCGACCCGATCACAATATAATAACAACAATTGCCTCAGTCGTAGCTCATGCAAAACAGTTTGAATCACAAATGCCATAGATAGGTAAATAGGAGGAGAGATATATTTATAAACTAGGAGCTAGAAGTAGAGTAGGCTATACGATAGTTGAAATATCTATCTTTACTGTAGATATACATATATCTTATATATATCGATCATGGGTATCTGTTGAGCTACCTCTACTACCCGAGGTTCCATTTGATGGCGCACACAGCTTGAATTCCTTTCGCTGAATCAGTTCGGCACACAAATACTCAGCGATCTATGAACAAAATTATAATAAATGTATTTTCATGCACAAAAAAATATAATGATGTCATATGGCATATTTCAAGCATTTCATTCACATCGTGGATCGTGGGTCTGGTCTAGTATAGAGGGGCCTTCAATTGCATTATTGACTAATTCGCTTCCTGGCCAACAGCCCAAAAAGTGACTCAACCTCAAATTGTGAATGTGAAATTCAATGAATGTATTTTTATTCACAATGCTACCCAACTAAGGCTGCAAAAAAAAAAAAAAAAAAACGAAAGCAAAAACAGAAATAAGCAAACAATCCATCAATTTGAGCGCCCGCAAAATGCAAAACAAAAACAAACTGCGAAAAAAAATTCGCAACAAACGTCACGAAAACCTTAAAAAAATGGTAAATTCATATAATAGTAATTAGTGACTGACTAGGAAATACCCTGAGAATGAAATACATATGTGAAGGAAATGCATTCGAATGAGATTCAAAATGAAAAAGCTGCCTTAGTAGAGCGATGAGATATAGAGGAGAGAGATACGGTACGGAGAAGCTGGCGGACAGAAAATCATTACTAAGACTGTATCTATCATACCCACTCTCCCATTTCCACTCAGTACAGGGCATGAGAATGGGCTAATATTAGTAAACTTTCGTCATTAAGTTTCGAGCATGTGACTAAAAGATTTTTGCACAGCAGCGAGAGCTAAATTTGGCAATGCCCAGAAGAAAATGTATAATATGATAATCTCAATAAGTCAATATGAGATGGCTGAAAACGTACTTAGTATCGGGTATAATATACAGTCATATGCTGATACCGAGAGTGATATGGTTGGGCGGTACGCAAAGGTATTTCCGGTTGTAAAAAAGTAAAAGTTGCAAATAATACGACAGAGACTCGACTCACGACAGAGGGGACCTTTGAAAACAAGTGCGAAAATGAATGAATTATGAGTCTTGTACGGCTAGTTCTAACGTCCCCGTCTCTGCCCCTACTCTTCACCTTCCCCTTCCCCGCCCCTGCTCCTGTTCTTGTTACTCGCGTCTGCTTTTTGGGGGCGCTGTTGCGAAATCGTATGAATATTTTGCTCACGCGCTGCCAACAATCACTCATTTTGCTGAGGCGACAACGGCCCATGTCCCCTGACAGCCCTCCCCCCGCTCGGCACAGCACAGAAGTCACGTTTGCTGCCGCCCCCACCCCCCCGAGCACGCATCCACCTCCCACGCCACGCATCACAAAGCCTCGCATACAAAGTCAATTAGTTGTGATGCCCCGACGAAGGCTTCTCTTGTTCTTGTTAACGTCTTTGCAGTGGCTGTGGCTGTGGCTCTGGCTGTTGCTGTTGTT